TCCCGGCCCCAATGCTGCCATCACAGAACGGAACACAGGCGGCAGGTAGTCGCATTGGACCATTTAGGTCAACGTGCACTCCTCAGGTGATGGCCGCCTACCATGGCTCGTTTCATTCGCTGCAGCAGGCTTTCAGCGACGCTGTGGGAAGCTATTCAGTGGTTTGATCTCGAGAAGTTACCACTCCGAGAACTGAGTCCCTGTGACGAATTGTAAAGGGTACCCATGTCTCTGATGAATAGACGTACTTCATCAGGTTCGGCATTGGTTTCTTCCAAATCATCCATTTGTTGTAATACAACCTCGGCAGATTTTGCATAGGGTAGATGTCCTTGCAGCATGGAAAATGTGGAATATTTTCCTCACACAGTATGAGAAGAGCGTCCTGTCCCGCCTGTCTCCTTTCAGCCTCTGAATGGAGGAATTGTTGTAGATAGCACCCACTCTGTTGGACTGTACTGTACCCTTAGCTTACCGCGTCCTGCTGCTGACTTGAAGTATATTCGAAGGAAGTTCGTGAATTGATCTGGCAACTGCTCTCATTACACTCCTCTTCTGCTTTACGTCCGCCGCCGGTGCGCAGCTTGGATCATTGTCCAGAGAAGGGCTTGTTACAGGTTGTCTGAGGTGTGGTCTTTGTCAACACTATCGCAATGGGTGGCCTGGCGTGCATTTATCAGGAGGACACTTTAATGAGAGCAGCTGAAGTGAGGATGTAAGCACGTACTGGCGTCGTGGAAAAGGCATGTCAGACATTCATATGTAGTACTGGATCCTTAGCATAGCACTGTAGATTGTCGACCATTTCAAAGGTATTGAATATAATGGCGGCCCATCTTGGATTGAGCCGGCGCGCGGGGCCGGTACTTTGCGATCACTCTGCGAAACCTCACAAAAGTAGCCTAAGTATGTTCCTTGGGCATCCTTAAAACATATAATTAGACACTTTATTCATGTTTCTTAGCTCGACTGGAGCCAAGAGATTATGGGAAAACCCTAAATGAATGGCAATTTTTGCGGACGCATCCTTGGATTCTGGAAAACGCACAAGGAGGGACTGTTCCGGGAGACTTTTTTAGTATGCTTATTCTACACATTTTTCTGAACCTTCCTCGAAAAAAATTCATGCTTGTTTTGAAAAATGTCCGCCGGTTTTAGACTTAAAACTTGGGATAATCGTGCATCGTTTCATCGCTTTCATCGTTTCATCGGTTTCTTGTAAATCGGTATGCTCGCGTCGTCGCGCCATACGGTGTCTGCGTGTGCGGTGGGCTTAACAGGAGCTACATGCAGGCTAAACAACACTTTATTTACTGTACCTACTGATCAAAAACTTTTGCAGCTTAAAGTTACACTCTCGCCTTATGCTACAGGAGTACATGAGCTAACAACATTTATTACATGCTACCTACTGATAAAACCTTTATTGCCAGCTAAAGTTAATGCCTGTACTGCTAACCAGGTAGTACATAGCTAACCAGACACTTTATTACTGCTACCTTACCTGATAAAACCTTATGCAGCGTTAAAGTTAATGCCGTTATGCTAACATGGAGCTACACAGCCTAACAACACTTTATTACTGCTACCTCTGATAAAACCTTCTATACGCCTTAAAGTTAATGCCCTTACTGCTACATGGAGCTAACATAGCTAACACCACTTTATTACTGTACCTACCTGACTAAAACCTTGTATACAAGCTAAGTAATGGCCATTACTGGCCTAACAGGAGCTAGCTAGCTAACACACGTTTATTACTGCTGCCTCCTGATAAGAACCCCTTATACAGCTAAAGTTCAGATGCCTTACTGTAACATAGGAGTACACAGCTAACAAACGCACTTTATTACTGCTACCTACCTGATAAAACCTTATACAGCTAAAGTTAATGCCTTACTGCTAACAGGAGCTACACAGCTAATGACACTTTATTACTGCTACCTACCTGATAAAACCTTATACAGCTAAAGTTAATGCCTTACTTGTCCTAACAGGGCCTAGCATAGCTTAACAACACTTTTTACTGCTGCCTACCTGATAATAACCTTATTACAGCTAAGTTTAATGCTCTTACTGACTACAGGAGCTACACAGCTAATGACACATTACTGCTACATCTACCTGATACCTACCTAAGACCTTATACAGCTAAAGTCCTATACAGCCAAGACGACCAAACGAGCCACGATTTACAAAGAGCTAATTATAGATACAACTTCATACAGCCAACTAGTCAGTCGTTCATGGTAAAGCCTTACACAATTAATTAAAACATTCTTAAATCTACAGTGCTTCTCAAAAATTTTAATGTTGGAGTTTCACATTCAGGAATGGAGCCAAAATAACCAAATGAAGTCTTCAATTAGCCTTTGCATCACCTCGTCATCTCTCGTGCCTCCTCCTCCCCCATCTCTCTTGCCCCTCTCCTCTCCCTCACCAGTGATCTGCTCCTTCTTCTCCCTCGCTCCCTCCTCCCCTCATCCAGTAATCTGCCCCTCCTGCTCCCTCCTCACTCCCTCCCCTCCGCTCACTCAGTTTCTGCCCCTCCTCTTCCTCCTTCCCTTCCTCCCTCACCAGGTTTCTGCACTTCCTCCCCATCTTCTCTGCCAGGTATTTCTCGGCGAGGTCGTGCTGCAGGTAAGCGATTTGCTCGTTACATGCGTAATCAAGTCTCCTGGCCGTTGATCGTCGATGATCTTCTTTGCGCAATGCTGTGGCCACGGCGTCGGCGCTCCGCCTGCCCCTGCTACGCTGCATTCCACACGCTTTTTTCTGTAAACAACTAAGGCAATTCACATCATGATCACTGCAGTCACTGGCACTACGCGCTCCTGTAAGTTAGTGAAACACTTAACTCACTCACGCGTCCGCCTGCCCCCTACGCTCTCCCACGCGCTTCCTGTTAAACACAACGGTAACACACTCAATGATTCACTCAGTCACTCAGCTACAGGCTCTTTTGTAAAAGTATGAAACACCTCACTGCAACAACGGCATCACTCACTAACTCACTCACTCACGCGTCCGCCTGCCCCTGTAGGCTTTCCACATGTCTGTAAGTACCTGAGGTAAAGATAGTTTGTCTTATTTGGCATCATGACAAACAGAAGAACAGAACACAAGATGGTTAGAAAGAACATACGACCGGCGGTAATCAAGAACGAATGGCCTGAGATTTATGGCGAGATCATGATGGAGTCCATGTATATCTGTGTGCGTGGGAGATTCAAGCTCATTTAAAATTTAATTAAAAATTTATGGAAGATTTTCAAGCAATTCTCATGGTGGGATAAACCACTCCTCTCACACACGCATACACACACACGCCATAAGGTGCCAGCGCACGCCCACACAACAAACGCCACATACGTACGCACCACGCACGCACACACACACGTCACGCAGCACGCACGCACACAACAATCGACTATACGTACGCACGAGCACAGCACGGCACCACACACACACACACTACACACACACACACACACCACAACCCACACACACAGCACGCACGGCAACACACAACACATCACACACAACACTACACTACACACACCGATACACCACACACACACACTACGCAATGCATCGGTAAATCAAAAACGTGGTGAGTCAAGAGAGAGAGTTGCCGCGTGGCGTGATCTAATTAATCTCTAATGCGTAGAGAAACCACAACGACGGAAATAGTTGTTTGAGCTGCCACGCGTACGAAACTGACGAGGATGCACAGCCTCCACGTTGCCACGGTTACGTCGCAGCAACTGTGATTACGCAATACGCCCGACTTGTCTGGTAACGTATTCGTTGTTGTTGTAGAGATGTGTGTGAGCTGTGCTGTTGATAGCCAGATGCACGACTCCTGCCACTACCCCCCCACCAAAATTCAACGCCTCCCCCAGCCCACAACATCAACCCTCCCCCACCAACACATCATACCCCTCCCACCACACATCAACCCTCCCCCACACATCATTCAAACTCCCTTCCCCACCACACACCAACCCTCCCCATCAAATGCAAATTCTCCCCCACCCCATCTCTCCCCCATCACACCCCAACTCGCTTCCTCCTAAGCTAAGCCATTACTTCCGTAGGCAGGATGTACTTTTCCACGAACTCTCTCAGCTCCTCCCCGCTCAGCTCTCTCCCCATCGACTTCTCCCTCTCTCCCGGCTTCTCCCTCGAAACACCTCCTCCTCCGCGCGTCTCGTCTCCCGCCGTCTCGTCTCGCAGCTCGATGTGTCTCAGTTCGTCGTACGGCCACTCCATTGTCTCAAACCGTCGCCGCCTCGGCAGAGAGATGCCGTCGAGGCACCAGAGACGCTTGAGACGCGTCTCCGCGGAGGCTGGCCTGAAGGGTTTTGCCTCGGACAGGTGAGACAATGCCTCCAGTATCGTTTCAGACTCGGCTTCAGACTCGCCAGACGGATATTGCCTCGGACAGCCGTTAGACCATTTCGGATCGTTGTGAAGACAATGCCTCGGATCGTTGAGACATCGCCTCAGATCGCTGAGATATCGCCTCGGACAGGTGAGACCCCGTTTCGGATCGTTGAGACTCCGTCTCGGAGCATCGAGATGCCGAGAGACTGGATAAGGAGCGGGTGGTGGCGACCGTTCCATGGGAGCTTGTCCTGCGGGAGAGCGACGAGGGAGAGGGGGAGCAGGAGCGAGGGCGGGAGCGACGCGGGAAGAAAGAAGACCGAGGAGAGGAAGGGTGAGGCGACGAGAGACGAAGGGAGCGAGAATGGGGAGAGGAGAGATGAGGAGAATCGGGAGAAGGAGGGTGAGCGAAAGGGTTAGAGGATGAAACAGAAGAGGAAGTATGAAGGGAGGAGGGAACAGGAGAGGATGGGATAGGAGAGGAAGTATGAAGAGAGGTGATACGAGAGGAAGACTCAGGTGGGGATGGACGAGAAGATGAACGGTGAAGACAGGATGTGATAGGAGAGGATGGGATAGCAAAAGATTGGGGAAGAAAGGGTGGATGGGAAGAGAATCTGCGATGGGATGAAGAGTGAGGCAAGGACGATGTAGGAGAACAAGTAGCAGTGGAAGAGGTAGAGGTAACAGAAGAAACTGCGATCGTAAAATGCGGAGAGGAAGTGACATACGAAGAGGGAACTGAAAAGTTAAAATGTGGGGAGAAGGAGGAACGACGTAGCGACGCCAAAGGTGACACAGAATGGGAGGGAGAATAACGTCTGCATGAAGCTGATGACGTAGGAGTATGAATCATCATGTCGGAAGACAAAGCAGTGGCTGTAAAAATATTAGCCTTTGGCAAGAATAACAGAGGAGAGTCGGAAGAGAATGGGGAAAAAGAAAAGTTGGTGGAAGTGGGTAGAGAGGAGTGGGTGGGGGTGGTGGCCAGACAGGAGTGTGTCGAGGTGGTGGTTGGAGAAGAGTCGGTGGAGGAGGTAGGGAGAGAGGAGCGGGTGGTGGAGGAAGGGAAAGAGGAGTGGCTGGAGGTGGGAAGAAATGAGTGGGTAGTGGAGGTGGATAGAGAGGAGTGGGTGGAGAAGGTGGGGAAAGAGGAGTGGGTGGAAAAGGTGGATAGAGGATATTGGGTGGAGGAGGTAGGGAGAGAGGAGTGGGTGGTGGAGATGGGTAGAGAGAAGTGGGTGGAAAAGGTGGATAGAGGATATTGGGTGGAGGAGGTAGGGAGAGAGGAGTGGGTGGTGGAGATGGGTAGAGAGAAGTGGGTGGAAAAGGTGGATAGAGGATATTGGGTGGAGGAGGTAGGGTGAGAGGAGTTACTCAAGGTCACTGATGA